CGAAAACTTGCTCGAAATGCGCCGAGCCGGCTTTGAAATCTTTCGGGCGGCTCGAGCAGTTAATGCTAAGGTTTTTAAAGCTCAGAAATGCGTTCCCGGTAAAAATCCTGCAAATATTTCTAAATCGTCCTGAGCAAACTTAAAGCGAAGTCGCTACAGCACAAAATACAAGGAATCGGGTAGAGCTTAGCTTCGGGAGAGAGGGGGCTCGGGCGGGGAAGGAGATCGGCGGTGTCTGCGCAGAGAACGACCGGGCGCGGATGTAGGATCGGGTGGTTTCCTTACGGGTGGCTTATCTGCCCGTCTGGCTACGCTGTGGTGCGATTTTATGCTGTACTTAAAAATCCGGGGAAAACAAATGTTTGTTTAAAAAAATATCGACCGGTTGCTCTAAAGGGCATTAATTATTCAGGGTAGATCTATACTTCCTTCGTGTCAAAGTCAAAGGGATAGCGCGTTCGCTCTGGGAAGCGAAAGCAAATAGCGGCGAATTTTTACCACAAAATACAAGCGCTTGAGATTTACCGGGAAAAAAGGGAAGAAAACTGTAAGGAAAAAAAATGAAGGTGACGACCGTAGGGTAGGAAACGGCATGCTCTAATTCTGTCTGAATTCTGGCGAGCTGCTGTGTGACGCTCCATATATTCCCAAGATTTAGAGAGGAAGCTTAAAGTCAGAAATACAGCAGATGTTGTCACATGCTGAACTACAGAATACGTAAGATTTTTTTCTTAGATGCGCTATTTTTATAGAAACTAGAGGGAAGTTTAGAAAATGTCAATGAATACGCCAAGCTAAGGCTTCGGCTAGGTGTCGCGTTTAGACTATCTTTGCATCTCGTGTTTGCGTTTCTTTTAAAAATTTTACTTCTGAGGTTCAGAGAGAGTCTACTTGCCTAAATTTAAGAACCATTCACGAAAAGTCGCCGTAAAGTTCAAGTAATATTTTTATTACTATTTGCAACAAGTCAGTTGTGGGGCACATAATCTGACCTTAGCACCGAAATACATTTAACATCAGTAAAACTTTTTTAAAGGGAGATTTGTACATATAGTTAAATAATTTTTCACTTGGTGACAACATTCAGGCAAACAAGAGAGAATAAGAAAAGGACTATACATGGATTGGAAAATGTACCTTTCGGGTTTCGTTTTGAGGTTGCAAAAGTCCGATTGCTTCTCTTTTTGTGACTTTTTAAAAATTCACATTGGAGGGCAGGAGGAGAGGCTCTTCCCTTCTTCCGTGCAAGGCGGTGAGCGTTTATGCCGGGAAAACCGTCTGCAAGTTTTTAAACGCCGAGCTGCAGGTGGGTGGGGGGTGGCGGGGGCGCGTTTCTTTCGCCGCCTCTTTCCGTCGTCGTTTGCGTTAAATAAAAAGTTTTTAGGCGCTGTTGTTGTTTACGGAGGGCGAGTTTTGTGCGCGGGGGTGTTAACCCTATAGCTTGTCGAGGCTTTTGGGATTGGTGAGGATTTCTCTGGCTAGCCTCCAGGTCTGTTTGGCAGCGCTTTCCAGGGCCGAGTGGGGTTTGCCCTGAAAGAGGTCTAGGTTGGGCAGGAAGTAGTGGGGGCAGCGCCGGCACTGCAGGCAGGAGATGAGCTGCAGGAGGATGCCGTTGAGCCGGTCGCCCAGGCACGCCTCGTCCCAGTCGGTCTCCCGCGGGTGCTTCTCGCACTCGTACAGCAGCAGCGTCTTCATGTGGTAGTTGTTGAGGGGCTGCCCGGGCAGCTCCAGGTGCCGGTCGCGCAGCGTCTTCAGCACCGAGAGGCACTTGTTCCTGCAGCCGCCCATCAGCAGCCGGTTCTCGGCCTCGCCGAACTGCAGCACCCAGGCGTCGCTCTCGGCCGAGCTCTGCTTGCCCGTCAGCGAGTAGCACTCCTTGGAGAGCAGGTTGAAGCCCTCCGCCTTCACCTCCGCCACCCGGTTGGGGCCGGGCCAGGGGATGTGGGGCATGGGCCACTGCGCCGCGCTGCGGGGCCAGATCCCGGTGCACTTGAAGGCGGGCGTGATCTGCACCACGTACCGCTCCCGGATGCGGAGCTTCACCTCGCTGGTGTCCGCGATCATCTTCACCACGTCCCGGTAGCTGCACTTGTCCACGGCCTGGGCCACCAGCGTCTGGAAGCGGGAGCGGATCTTGCGGGCGGACAGGTAGCCCGAGGCGGTGATGAACTCCACCCAGAGGGACATGCTGCGCTTGCGGCCGTCGCTCAGCTTGAGCACGGCGCAGCCCGGCAGGGAGCCGTCGTCCACGAAGTTGAAGACGCCCATCTGGTTGAGGTAGAGCACCACCTCAAACTCGGTGGGCGAGATCACCTCCAGCCCCTCGTAGCGGGCGTCGATCTCGCTCAGGGAGCTGATGAAGCGCGGCTCCTGCACCTCCACCTCCTTCAGCACGTCCGACACGACCTTGCACACCTCCCGGATGGTCTTGGCGATGGCCGCCTTGCGGGCCTGGCAGCGCTCCGTGTAGTATTTGTTGAGCTGGTAGACCAGCTTGGCCTGCGCGGCGATCATGTTGGGGCACAGGTCCGGGCTGTACACCGGGCTCTCGCAGTACGTTGAGGGATCCAATGCTTTAGCGGTGGCTGCAGCTTTGCGGAGGGCACCGGCCAAATCGCAGACCCCCACCCCCTCCGGGAAGAAGGCGGCAGCGGCGCGCCAGTGAGAGCAATTAAAAAAATCGGGGAGGACGACGAAGCACAAAGGAGCGAAGCCCGGCGCTGCCCCGGCGAGGAGGAGGGAGGAGTGCGAG